CAGCATTCCAAAATAAATCAACCCTCGCCAGTGAAGATGGATTTACGTCCTTGTCTGTTTGTTTGTGTTTGTTTGTTGTTTTGTTTGTTTGTTTGTTTGTTTGTTTGTTTCCAGTGCGGCTTCTTTCGTTCCATGAATACCATCTCTTGCAGCAGCCTATTTGTTTCCAAAACCGAGAACATAATATTAGGACACTGAAGTGACACGACCTTGTGTGCTAGCTAAGCTCAGTATGTACTGAAATGATGCCAAGGCCCCTTCCACACTATGCCAGAGGAATTTGAAAACGGAGCGGTTTCACTCAGAAAACACATCAAAAGTTTTCCGTCCACACTACGTTGGAGGAAGTTATAAACGCAACAATCGCAGTTTTTGAAGAAAACTTCGCCAGGGGAAATCACGTGATTATCGTGACGCCATCGTTCTCGAAAAGCTCCGTTTTCAAAATGTTCTCCGTCCACGCGAAAACGAAAATTCTTTTTCAAATTCCTCCGCTTTTAAATATTGAATAGCTCCGTTTTCGTGACGGTTAATGTGGACGGTAGGCCTAACCAGAGAAATAAATCTCCGTTTTCAAATTCTCCCAGCGTAATGTCGACGGGGCCGAAGTAAATGTGAAAAATAAATTGAGTTTGAACACTTCTGTGAAAGCATCCATTGGTATGAACAAAACAGTTGACGAAACTTGTTCAGTCAGGATTAAATATTTCGATTCAAATCTAGGCTTTTGTCGATTGTGCTAGCATAATTTTTAGCTTTTATATCTAAATTTAGCACTGCTAGCATAATCTGGCTTTTCTGACTTCTGACCTTCGCGAAATGACGTCATTTCGTTTTGAATAAACTTCTTTTTACTTCTTCGTTTCTATAACTTTTGTTATCGTAGATCTGAGCACTTCCTAAGTTTAAGTTCAGATGGTTCAGCAGCTTACAATTTAATTCGTTCTATTTAGGCACAAAGAAATAAATTTACACGGATTAGATAGCCCTGAGCCTGCTCTACAATGTTATAACAATTTCTGTTAAGTATGACGTCATACATATGACGTCAAATGACGTCATTTGACCTGCCATCTTGGATACGCCATCTTGGATTTCAATATTTTATTAAAAAGTCCAGAAATAACGGAAATCAATACAAAGTCAGGCCAGGATGCTTAGAAATGTAGAAAACGGCGGTTCCAAACAGCGTAATACCTTGCTTTGTCTATTCTGTCTTTATTTTGCGTAAAAACCAAGTAGCATAATTTTGATACGAGGAGCATAAGTTAGGGAAACGAGCATAATTCGGTCACGAGGACCATAATATGCCAGTTGTACGAGCACAATCGACAAAAGCCTATTCAAATCTCATCAGGGGCCTATCTCGGTGAATGGCAGCTTAGTTTCGAGTTGACAATTAAAAAATGAGTAAGGAATGCGTCATCAGTCGAGCGTGACTTCTTGGAAGGTAGACAAGTTTCTCGGAAACTGCCTCGTATTCCATAAAAGGCCATGAGTATTTCTGTAAAGATATCTCATTGGTAGACATATATTAGGGAAAACCCCTTATTGGTCTGCAGAATTCAGAATTTTGAAAACTGTGCGTAGAATCCTTCCACTATGGCGAATGGAAGACGTAAGATCGTTTCTAGATGGACAATTGTTTTCTTGCTAGTTTTATTGATGATAGTTCAAGGAGTTTGTCTAGATCAATATTTTTACAATTACTACAAACAAGACGGTTGGAAATCCTTCATATGCGCTTACCTTCCCGCGGTTGTCCTATTGCTTTGGCAGCAAATAGTAGAAACTCGCGACGAAGATCCTGTGCAGTCGACAGAACAAGAGGAGTTTGATGGAACCTCCACAACATTTATAACGCTCAAACGGCTGATAACAGGATATCACAAAATGTTTACATGGCTTCTATACGTGGTACCGTCGATCTTTCAGTATGTATGGATTTTAAGCACGTTCGTAGAAGATATAGAACCTTCAGTGTTCTTTGGCCCAAGATTTCTGAGAGTCATCTTGTGCTTTCCATCTGGAGTGTTTCTGTTTTTGGACACTATAGAATACGCCGTCAAACCCGAGTTAAATGTGGAGTGGTGGCGTGTCTTCGATCTCTTTGATACGGTTGAGTTACTGCAGATTTTGCTCCCGGATAGAAATATCTTCTTGACCCTAAATCAAACTACAAAAACTTCCATGCTATTCTTCGGATCGACCAGTTTATTTTTCCCTGCATTTTCGCTGTGGGAGCTACAAGCCTGTCGAAAGATACCTTCCGAAACTGCTGGTTCTAATAATTTATCAGTCCACAAAAGGACTCGGCTGGTCTCGAAGGTACGAATTGTTTCTAAAGTGTGTCAATTGTTGTTCGTGAACACCGCGTTTCTGGTGTTAAGGCTCGTTCTATTCTTCGATTTTAACTTAGATGCCTCATTGTTTGTAGCAAAGAACGTCATTGCTATAACAGTGGGAGTAATAGAAATCATTTCTGCGTGCAGAGGCAAAAGAGTAAAAGGGTCTCAAGAGAACATGAACTTAAGGGGTACTTTTAAGAATCCTGCTTATGAAACTGGATCTGACAGAAGCTTAGCCCAAATCACGGCAACCTCTAGTTCAACTCAGACAGTCGCCTCAGATTTTCCAAATGATCAGCAAAAGAGGATCAAACCAGGGGACCTTTCTTTAAATGATCTCAAGCGGAGAAATCGAGACCCAGAAAAACTGCTATCAGATCCGTGCTTGTCAATGCTCGATGGCATCTCGTTCGACAGTAACACCAGTGAAACGTCACTTTGCCTTCCGAGCCATATCGGTGCTACGTTTACCAAAGTGACAGAGTCTCGATCAACACAGACAACAATGGCAGAAATTCCAAGAGACCAGCTGCATTGTCAGTTGTGTGGATCTCAAGAAAAGCCCAAATTAACCGCGGAACGCTTTCGAAATCCTCTAGGATACACTGAATCTGTTTTGGGAGATTCAAGATTTTGTTCTCCCCGCGACTCAATAGTCCCACAATCAAATCAACTTTCTTCAGCTTTTCAGAAAACTGCCAGACAAGGGCAACGTTTTCTGAGGCAGAATCCACCAGGAAAATTCGAGTCAAGAATTTGTTCACCCGATGTTACAGATGCCAAGGAATCGAAGCCAATTTGTTCAGCTTTGCAGCAAAATAAGACCACAGAACATGAACATTCTAAAACGCAAAGTCCTCTTAGAGAGAGCCCTGTCAGCCTTGATCCATGCGACGATTCAAAACTGGCTTTGTCAAGCAACATACACGTCAAGGAATTTAAACCACTTTTCTCATCTTGGCAGCAACAGACTACTAAGCAAGGAAAGCGTTCTAACGCGCAAAATCTGCGCAGCGAAAACGTTGCTATTGGTGGTGATTCAAGAGTTCGTTTTCACCACGACACACGTATCGAAGGATCAAATCATCTTTATGCATCGAGCCTGCGAACCACGACTAAGCAAGAAGAAAGTTTTTCGGAAATGAAAAATTTTCGAAGAGAAAAACCTGCCGCTATAAATCCTAGAGTTCAATTATCGTTCAACCCACGCGGCGAGGAACTAAATGCGTATAATTCACCTTCCCTGGATCACATATCGGCTGATAACGACACAAGTGAAATACATCTGGGCTTCACAAGCTCAAATAATGGCCCAAAACGATTCTCGGAAAGGCCAGGGAGGGAGAGCATTACTCGTCATGATCAATATAGGAGACATCAAAGAAAACGACACGATAGTCGCCAAAGTGGGCATAATATGCATACCCCAGCATTTACGGTCTGGAATACAAGAAACTAGATCTGCATTTGTAATTACTATACTAAGTAAAAATAGATCTAGCTGACTGACAAGCATTCAAATTGTTCTCCATCGCTTCAATATGAATTCTCTTGCTCTCGGAGGAAGCGTCCGCACTGCGCCGGAGGAATTTGGAAACACCGGCTTTGTGTTTTAGTGTGGACGGAAAACATTTTGAAAACGGAGCTTTTCGAAAACGATGTTGTCAGGATAATCATGTGATTTCCCCGACTGAGTTTTCCTCAAACACAAATTCAAAATGACCGGTGATTGTTGCGTTTTTAAATGCCTCTGGCATAGTGTGGACAGAAAACATTCGATGCGTTTCCAGAGTGAAACCTCCGTTTTCAAAATGTCTCCAACGTAGTGTGGACGGGACCATAGACTCCGAATTTGGACCTACTCAAACAAATAATTTAGAATAGTATAGTTTCTGATCAGTTGGCAAACCGGTAATGTCAACTCTAGCTTCCGCTTGCTTTTAATCTCGGTGTAGTGATCTCGTCTAACTGTATAATCAGTGGTTGTAGTTCAAGGAAATTTCAGCAACAATAAGTTCTACAAGTTTCAAAAAAAACAGGGAAACGCTGTAACATTAAGATGACAATTTCATCAGCAGCATTAAAGTTTTACGTAGGTCTCTGAGAGTTAAAATCAACCCTTTGCCCTAGGGGCGTGGGGTAGGGGGTGGGCAACATTGAAAGGCGGTTACATAAATGTTGCATTCAAGTCTTTCAATACCAAGTTTTCCCAGCTATAAATTAATTAAATTGCAGTATCTTTTCCTGTTGAAAGTTAAAGTTTTGATTACCATCACTCGCGGTGGCCTCATAGCTAGTGCGCTCGACCGCGGCGGACGAGTGGTCAAGGTTCGAACCCTGGCCGCGGACACTTTGTTCTGTTCTTGGGCAAGGCACTTCACTCTATCGGTGCCGCTTCCCATCCAGGTACACGTATATAAATGGGTACCGCCAGATTTAACACTGGGGATAACCCTACGATGGACTAGCATCCCATCCAGGGGGGAGTATAAATGCTCCTACTCGCTTCATGCTAAAGAAACCGTAGATAAGGGCCGGTCTGATGGGTCACTTGGCTCATATGCAGACTTAACACTACTTTTATCTTCACAAATTTATCAGGGAGCTAGAAAATAATGAGTAAATTGGTGGCAAAAATCATAATGGAATGCTAAAACAAAGCATCAATTCTCCAATGCTGCTCTAGAAAATCACAAAAATTGTTTAAAAACGAAGAACGTGCAGTTCTTGTGGTCAGTTGGCACCCAAAGAAACTTAAAAATGGCTTTTTATTTCCACTTTAATTTATTGATTGGCTTCAATTGCATTTTTTATGCCAAAAAATGCAAAAATATCTAAATAACTGCGAGGCGTATGAATCTACCATTTACATTTTATTCTTCTTTATTTTACACTTTTTTATATAAAATTTAAACACTTTACATGTTGCACTCTCTTTCCGAGAGTCTTGTTCAGATGTCACGTGGTAGGACCCGGGTATCTAAACTTTGGTCGCCGTGGGTTGCTGGCGGTCGTGGTAGACTGGGGTTTACTGGCTGGTATGTGATGCCTGGTGGAAATAGCAAAGAGTCCAGGATTTCTCGAGGTCAGTTTCATTTGTGATAGTGGTTTATCTTCTGGTTGAAGAAGAACTGAAAGAAAGAGAGAAATCGATAGAGAAGTCAGTTAGATTAAAATAATGAAAATCTTAGTTCTTTTCCTTCTTTTATTCGATTTTGACCACTAATTTGCCCGAATAATCCCACTAGACTAAAAACCGATACTCAGATATGTACGACTTGAAAACAGAACACTTTTTTTGTTTGTTTGTTTGTTTGTTTGTTTGTTTGGTTGGTTGGTTGGTTTATTTGTTTTCTTTTGTTTTGTATTTATTTTGTTTTGTTTTGTTTCTTTTTTTTCCAGCTTCACGTTACTGGGCGTTTCAATAACACGTTGAATGTCGTCTCAGTTATTGACGGCAGCCAATAATCGACATCGTTATGGCTTGGGCGGATGCAGGATTTTAGAGAAGAAGATTTGAGATACGGAACACCGAAGGCGCCCCCCTATAAGGGGGTCCGGGGGCATCCTGGTTACGAAAAATTTTAGAATTGAGATTCCTTGAAATGGGATTTCTGGCATTCAGAGGCCAAGTTAGCGTGGTATGTCTCTTTTTTTTATTTAGGGGGACCCCGAATCGCCCCCCGCCCCCTTCAGATCCGCCTCAGGTTCGTTAGGTTTTAAACTTCAGTGTTCGCGTGTAAGTGAAGTCACTGAAAGGTTCAGTAAAATACTGAATAAAATAATTGTTAAACACAACCCTACCTCGTCCCAAAACGCCCTTGCTTAACTGCACTCCATGCATGTGACACAGCTCCACAACATCGTTGTATTCTTTCACCGTCATCTTTCGGTAACGATCCACCATTTCCCCTATCCTACCCCCCAGAGTGGAAGGTGCCACTGACACTTTTTCGGGTGCTGCTCGCTTCCTCTGCTTGGCTTTTTCTTTCTCTTTACGTTTTTGCTGTTTCTTCATACGTCTGTTTTTTATCTGTAAAAACAAAGAAACAATTCAAAAGGTACTCCGTGTAAATGGCATGGACTAGCTCCCAACCATTCATATGGTTTGAGGCCGGTAGTGTAGGGTACGTTTGCACGCGTACCCCAGAGGGGAACTCCCTTTAAAAAGGGTGGGGATGCTTGTAGGAAAATGTGAATGAAGCCTCTAAAAGAGACCAGTCTGAGCGTGGCTCAGGCGTTTTCCTCCCCTAATAGATATCACTTTGCAACGGACACACATATTCTTTTTTTTGTTTTTATTTTGTTTTTATTTTGTTAATTTATTGAATGATCTCTTCGAGTGCAACCCTAAAAGATACCTTGAAGGCCAAAAATAGTTGCCTTTCCTCCTGAGGCCACGGATGAGGACGAGGCCCTATCGATTTATGACCCAAGCGTGAATCAGGTTGGTCAAGAAATCGGCCGGAAAACACATACGTGTTTATCTTACAGTATGGCCAAGAGAACGAGATTAATAAGATGTTTATTATCAATCTCCTGTTGGATCAAGGAAAACATTTCCAGTCAAGCGCGCATTGACTTTGTTGTTGTTGTAATGTAACAGCTAAGATGTATGACATCTAGAAACAAATTGCCTCTTGCTGACAAAAACATGCAGGTGGGTGCTGGCCAGATTGACAAACTTAACGACTGCTTTCCAGAGCATACATGTAAGCGTAAGCTGACATACGCAGACGCAACAAGATGCTGACAATTAGCGCCTTTTGCTGGAAATTTCCCAAACAAAAGGCGCTAGTTATCAACATCTTGCGTGTGTCAGCTTATGCTTATGGAAACCAACCATTCTCGTCCCCAAAGGCCGCGCTGGCCAGCACAAAGATATCTCGACCTCTGGCCGGACCGCTTTTCTAAGCATGCGCAGTGTTCATTTCGTATTCTAAGCCAATCAGATTTGCCAGATTTGACGGGAAGTCCGTGAATCACCGACTTCCGGTGTTGGACCAGCCCAAAGGTCGTGATTCTAGGTGCTGACCAAAAGGAACCCCGCCTCTGGGGACGAAAATGGAAAGCAGCCATAAAGCCTACCTCATCTTGCGTCAGTTGCTCAACTTTCTCCGACAACTGAACAGCAGGTATTTCCAGCAGGGTTGGTGACATATTGCTCTCGCTACTACCATTGCTAACTGGTGATGCAGGACGAGGATGTTGCTGTTGGGGCTCAGAGCCTGGTCGCTGCCCAACAAAGGTCACAGGCTGAGCCTGGGCTGAAGAAGGAGAATAAGGACGTTGAGGTGATGTTGAGGGCCTCCTTTGGGTGGTGGCCTGTGGTGAGGAGGGTCTCTGAGGGGATGCAGGCCTCTGTGCCCCAGTACTGGGCCACTTGTCCTGTAATGGATCAGAAACAGGTTCTGGCTCCTCTGGAATGGTTTCCGGTCTTTTTGCAGCTTTAACACTGGGAGTATGGACAATCTCAGCCGCTTGTTTGGTGACCCTTGAAAAAGACACATGCACATTGGTCACTATATATAAACATGACTTGATCAAGACATAATAAATTTTTCTGCAATGCATTTTGTTTATTATTGAGATTGAAATCTCCAAAATAAGAAACATACATGTTGCCCTTTATACTGATTAAGGATATACATGTACCAGTATTTCCTTGGTGAAAAACTTACAGGATATTTAAGAATCAACAGTTTATTAAAGGATCTTAAGAACAAGGGCATAGCTAGGGGGGGTCCCGGGCTGCCCGTGACAACCAACAACAGCTGGCAAAAACGCCATGACAATCTGGTGAGTGCCCTCACTTTAACACAGTGTGACCCCCTCTTCAAAAAATCCTGGCTGCGCCCCAGCTTAAGAAAATCATACACCAGATACAAGTTATGTAAAACTACATGTATGACTGTGTGTAAGTCAGTAGGTCTCACAAACATCTTGCCAAAGTCTTAGAAAACATCATTAATAAACCCTCAATCTTTGAAAATCCTTATGAATGGATTTTATACACGATATAGCAGCATACAACGAAAAAGGATGCTTGATTCCACTTGATTCAAGATTTTTGCTGAGGTTAAAACTACGTTGTACACAAGTGTGAATCTAAATTTGAATTCTGAATTTCAATTATGTTGTTATGCATCAATCATCTGCCATCCCCTGGGGGGAGGGGCCATCATCCTCACCTCTCCTCTAAGTATGACTGTCTCCCCACAGCCAGCTCCCTGTAATCCAAGGCATCACTGTTATCTCTGTCAAGGGCAAGAATCAAATCCTCCAGATCAACCTCCTTCAGTGGAATTCGCCATGATCGAATGATGTTTCTGAACTCTTGCCGTGATACCACCCAGTTTTTGTCCTTGTCTGCTTGAGAGAACAGATCTAAGAGACGCATCCTCTTGCGATCCAAGTATTCTTGAATGACTGCTAAGGCAGCAGGGGAAGGCTGGCGGATAGTCGGCACCCCCCTGTCTTCACCTGTTACTGTTGTTGTGTCCTCCTCAATTTCTGGGGGAGGGGTTGGTGCCTTGTTTGAAACAAAAGAAAAAAATATTGAGAGAAAATTCTGCCCTGACACGACATCAAAGTAGGTTGTTAGATATACAATTTATTCTAGGATATCTGCAGTTACAGTGTACCTCAAAAAAAAACAACAACAAAAAACATACACTGTACATGTAGCATCCTCGAATCCAGTTCCAACTTTACCTTCTCTTTATTATGCTTACTGTTACATGTAAAAGTCTATTTAAGCACCTCTTGGCTCACCCCCTCCCACTCCTCCAACCCACTCCTTCCCATTTTTCAAGGGCTTCTTCCTTTTCAGGAGGTCATCCAAACAAGAACTGCAGTATACAGGCTGGGTTGCAATTGAACAAATGGATCTCAAAGCCCAGGATTAAGATAAGTGGAGGAGAACTGCAGATACCCTACGCTCCTGTTCTACATGATAAACTACATAGAGGAGCAAAGGAGGTATTAGAGTGAAATTTTCAAGATTTATTGACAGAACGGTGTTGGTGAACTAAACAGTGAGGGTCACTTGTTGGAGAGGAAAAGATCATGTCACGTATAATTTGTGTATTTCATGCCGCAAATTTCTGTTTTTTGGACACAACTTCACTTAAGTCCAAACTTTCTATATACTATAGTACACCAACTCTACCTCCAATTAACTGTTTTCTGTTCCATACATTCTTACTAAATTAATAGGCTTTATACATGTCTCAAGTCTTACAACTACTGAGAGCTTAGCCACAATTGATTCAGTGCCCTTTTAGGCTAACTAGTGGACTAATATCAGGCTAACCAATTACAGGTACAGTATCGAATAATGATTCGCAGAGGCCAGGAATGTGTTTGACGAACAAGAAGAAGACAGACTTTTTTGTACTTGGATACCTACGCCATTTGCACATATAGTGCGCATGCTTTAATGGCTTCCTTCTCAATGTTTCTTAGTTTCAGTTTTAAAACTTATGGAAAGCACTACTGACTTTTCCACTCAAACGAAAATCTCAAAAGACTTTTTCTGCTGTATGATATTCTCTGTATTATGCAGAATAAAATGGTTGTTGTTGTTTTATAATTTCAATGATAAGTTAGTTATTGGACCTTGCGTCATACAAGTCAAGGAGTATTTAGCTCATAGTTNTGAAAGTTAAAGTTTTGATTACCATCACTCGCGGTGGCCTCATAGCTAGTGCGCTCGACCGCGGCGGACGAGTGGTCAAGGTTCGAACCCTGGCCGCGGACACTTTGTTCTGTTCTTGGGCAAGGCACTTCACTCTATCGGTGCCGCTTCCCATCCAGGTACACGTATATAAATGGGTACCGCCAGATTTAACACTGGGGATAACCCTACGATGGACTAGCATCCCATCCAGGGGGGAGTATAAATGCTCCTACTCGCTTCATGCTAAAGAAACCGTAGATAAGGGCCGGTCTGATGGGTCACTTGGCTCATATGCAGACTTAACACTACTTTTATCTTCACAAATTTATCAGGGAGCTAGAAAATAATGAGTAAATTGGTGGCAAAAATCATAATGGAATGCTAAAACAAAGTATCAATTCTCCAATGCTGCTCTAGAAAATCACAAAAATTGTTTAAAAACGAAGAACGTGCAGTTCTTGTGGTCAGTTGGCACCCAAAGAAACTTAAAAATGGCTTTTTATTTCCACTTTAATTTATTGATTGGCTTCAATTGCATTTTTTATGCCAAAAAATGCAAAAATATCTAAATAACTGCGAGGCGTATGAATCTACCATTTACATTTTATTCTTCTTTATTTTACACTTTTTTATATAAAATTTAAACACTTTACATGTTGCACTCTCTTTCCGAGAGTCTTGTTCAGATGTCACGTGGTAGGACCCGGGTATCTAAACTTTGGTCGCCGTGGGTTGCTGGCGGTCGTGGTAGACTGGGGTTTACTGGCTGGTATGTGATGCCTGGTGGAAATAGCAAAGAGTCCAGGATTTCTCGAGGTCAGTTTCATTTGTGATAGTGGTTTATCTTCTGGTTGAAGAAGAACTGAAAGAAAGAGAGAAATCGATAGAGAAGTCAGTTAGATTAAAATAATGAAAATCTTAGTTCTTTTCCTTCTTTTATTCGATTTTGACCACTAATTTGCCCGAATAATCCCACTAGACTAAAAACCGATACTCAGATATGTACGACTTGAAAACAGAACACTTTTTTTGTTTGTTTGTTTGTTTGTTTGTTTGTTTGGTTGGTTGGTTGGTTTATTTGTTTTCTTTTGTTTTGTATTTATTTTGTTTTGTTTTGTTTCTTTTTTTTCCAGCTTCACGTTACTGGGCGTTTCAATAACACGTTGAATGTCGTCTCAGTTATTGACGGCAGCCAATAATCGACATCGTTATGGCTTGGGCGGATGCAGGATTTTAGAGAAGAAGATTTGAGATACGGAACACCGAAGGCGCCCCCCTATAAGGGGGTCCGGGGGCATCCTGGTTACGAAAAATTTTAGAATTGAGATTCCTTGAAATGGGATTTCTGGCATTCAGAGGCCAAGTTAGCGTGGTATGTCTCTTTTTTTTATTTAGGGGGACCCCGAATCGCCCCCCGCCCCCTTCAGATCCGCCTCAGGTTCGTTAGGTTTTAAACTTCAGTGTTCGCGTGTAAGTGAAGTCACTGAAAGGTTCAGTAAAATACTGAATAAAATAATTGTTAAACACAACCCTACCTCGTCCCAAAACGCCCTTGCTTAACTGCACTCCATGCATGTGACACAGCTCCACAACATCGTTGTATTCTTTCACCGTCATCTTTCGGTAACGATCCACCATTTCCCCTATCCTACCCCCCAGAGTGGAAGGTGCCACTGACACTTTTTCGGGTGCTGCTCGCTTCCTCTGCTTGGCTTTTTCTTTCTCTTTACGTTTTTGCTGTTTCTTCATACGTCTGTTTTTTATCTGTAAAAACAAAGAAACAATTCAAAAGGTACTCCGTGTAAATGGCATGGACTAGCTCCCAACCATTCATATGGTTTGAGGCCGGTAGTGTAGGGTACGTTTGCACGCGTACCCCAGAGGGGAACTCCCTTTAAAAAGGGTGGGGATGCTTGTAGGAAAATGTGAATGAAGCCTCTAAAAGAGACCAGTCTGAGCGTGGCTCAGGCGTTTTCCTCCCCTAATAGATATCACTTTGCAACGGACACACATATTCTTTTTTTTGTTTTTATTTTGTTTTTATTTTGTTAATTTATTGAATGATCTCTTCGAGTGCAACCCTAAAAGATACCTTGAAGGCCAAAAATAGTTGCCTTTCCTCCTGAGGCCACGGATGAGGACGAGGCCCTATCGATTTATGACCCAAGCGTGAATCAGGTTGGTCAAGAAATCGGCCGGAAAACACATACGTGTTTATCTTACAGTATGGCCAAGAGAACGAGATTAATAAGATGTTTATTATCAATCTCCTGTTGGATCAAGGAAAACATTTCCAGTCAAGCGCGCATTGACTTTGTTGTTGTTGTAATGTAACAGCTAAGATGTATGACATCTAGAAACAAATTGCCTCTTGCTGACAAAAACATGCAGGTGGGTGCTGGCCAGATTGACAAACTTAACGACTGCTTTCCAGAGCATACATGTAAGCGTAAGCTGACATACGCAGACGCAACAAGATGCTGACAATTAGCGCCTTTTGCTGGAAATTTCCCAAACAAAAGGCGCTAGTTATCAACATCTTGCGTGTGTCAGCTTATGCTTATGGAAACCAACCATTCTCGTCCCCAAAGGCCGCGCTGGCCAGCACAAAGATATCTCGACCTCTGGCCGGACCGCTTTTCTAAGCATGCGCAGTGTTCATTTCGTATTCTAAGCCAATCAGATTTGCCAGATTTGACGGGAAGTCCGTGAATCACCGACTTCCGGTGTTGGACCAGCCCAAAGGTCGTGATTCTAGGTGCTGACCAAAAGGAACCCCGCCTCTGGGGACGAAAATGGAAAGCAGCCATAAAGCCTACCTCATCTTGCGTCAGTTGCTCAACTTTCTCCGACAACTGAACAGCAGGTATTTCCAGCAGGGTTGGTGACATATTGCTCTCGCTACTACCATTGCTAACTGGTGATGCAGGACGAGGATGTTGCTGTTGGGGCTCAGAGCCTGGTCGCTGCCCAACAAAGGTCACAGGCTGAGCCTGGGCTGAAGAAGGAGAATAAGGACGTTGAGGTGATGTTGAGGGCCTCCTTTGGGTGGTGGCCTGTGGTGAGGAGGGTCTCTGAGGGGATGCAGGCCTCTGTGCCCCAGTACTGGGCCACTTGTCCTGTAATGGATCAGAAACAGGTTCTGGCTCCTCTGGAATGGTTTCCGGTCTTTTTGCAGCTTTAACACTGGGAGTATGGACAATCTCAGCCGCTTGTTTGGTGACCCTTGAAAAAGACACATGCACATTGGTCACTATATATAAACATGACTTGATCAAGACATAATAAATTTTTCTGCAATGCATTTTGTTTATTATTGAGATTGAAATCTCCAAAATAAGAAACATACATGTTGCCCTTTATACTGATTAAGGATATACATGTACCAGTATTTCCTTGGTGAAAAACTTACAGGATATTTAAGAATCAACAGTTTATTAAAGGATCTTAAGAACAAGGGCATAGCTAGGGGGGGTCCCGGGCTGCCCGTGACAACCAACAACAGCTGGCAAAAACGCCATGACAATCTGGTGAGTGCCCTCACTTTAACACAGTGTGACCCCCTCTTCAAAAAATCCTGGCTGCGCCCCAGCTTAAGAAAATCATACACCAGATACAAGTTATGTAAAACTACATGTATGACTGTGTGTAAGTCAGTAGGTCTCACAAACATCTTGCCAAAGTCTTAGAAAACATCATTAATAAACCCTCAATCTTTGAAAATCCTTATGAATGGATTTTATACACGATATAGCAGCATACAACGAAAAAGGATGCTTGATTCCACTTGATTCAAGATTTTTGCTGAGGTTAAAACTACGTTGTACACAAGTGTGAATCTAAATTTGAATTCTGAATTTCAATTATGTTGTTATGCATCAATCATCTGCCATCCCCTGGGGGGAGGGGCCATCATC